CTTTATCTGTCACATCGGGTTTTTTGGTCTAACCTGTGCTCGTCTTTGGCACAGAGTGAAGAGTGGGGTGAAAAAAGTATGTCGGTGCCAAAGTCTGGTTGTTTTTCGAAGGAAAAGGGCTCTCGTGAACACGAGGTGTTATCATACCTACTGTTTTTGATCGTTTTTCTTTCCCATTCCCAAAGGGTGAACTGGGCAGAAGCCGAATGCACCCTAGACCTCCTAAGGACTCCTAGGGTAGCAACCATGTATACTTCAGAGCTCCTAGCTCGTTAAAAAACTCATACTTCCTCGTGAACAGCTGAGGCAGCTGTCAAAGAATTTCTGTCTAACTTACATATGTAGCTGTCAGAATGATCCAGTCTCCGTGTTGAACAGGGATGAAAGAGTGGGGCGCCTCTCACTGGAAGGCCTATAGGTAAGCCTTTTTCTGAGCAGCCATCGTTGTCACATGGGCATGCCTCTGGGTGTTATCCTGAACCGCAAAATTGATCGTATCACTTCTGGTCGAGGTTTTTGTCTGTGAACACGGTTCATTATCCCTGTGCCGGATAGATCGGAATGTCAAACATCATCAGCCTGATTCCCTTGTGTAATATGCTTTTTAGGTTATATGTAGTTGGGTTCGAACAAAAAAAAGTGACAGCAGATGGTTTGCCAATCAGTCGATGTGTAACAGGGCTATTGTGCCCTTTGATGAGTCTGGTACCATCAGGTTCAAAGGCCCTATAAACCTAGCCTTTGCTCCACCTTGGCCAGACTGAACTATTTATTCCAATAATCAGAGAAGACACGTGAGCTTAAGGCACCGTATACCATTCGGGCAGACTTGTGAATTTGGTCTTGCTCCGAGTCTCTGATTATTGAGTCCTTTCGGACCAGCATGGACTGAGCTTGAAGCTTCAAATCAAGGCCACCCTCTTGACCTTATTTGTAGATCAGCGCTATTACCATTACATACAGCTTGAAAGTGAGTGCGCGGCTCAATCTGAAAGTAGAAAGCAATTTCCTAGCACTTGATTTATTAGACAGACTTTATATCTGAATGCTTGCAAATCGGATGACCATCTGGAGTTCGGGGAATATCCTCTGCAAAAGTTCATTTATTACAACGAGTTGTTTGCCACCCGTTTTTCTTGCCTTACTGCTTTCACTGAGCATTTCGTGGTAGCTGTTTATGAGGTAGCGTTCGGTGTTTTTATAGCCCATTTTGTTTTACAACGGCGAAAGTCAAGTTCCGTGAAAAGCTGATGAACACACATTTCGTGACTTCGGCTGGGATGAAAATTAGAAGGATCTGGATCCAAGTGGATGTCATCTACAGGAGAATGAGAATCATGGGGTCTTTTGGAGGCGTTCAAAGGACAAAAATCCACGAAATTCGGAGAGCAATAGAAATTTGAAGGTCATAACTCATCCCTTATTCCTTTGGATTTGCCTCAGACACACAACCACAGAGGAAAGGGACTACTAGACTAGATTTTCACTTCTTCACCGTTCTAATGTCGTAGTTGATGCGTAGTCCCGAGCTCATCGCCCTCAACCATACCCCTGATGTCGTTTGATTGACCGCCTCGCAGACGCACGCTTAATTTCTGGGTATTTCGGCTCCCTTTGCAGACAATCGCGAAAATAACTGAAGTATGGAACTCTAGTCTCTGTAACACCGTGTCTGACGAGCTATGCCAGGAAAATATACAAATCGAAGCCAATCTATTCTTGGTGCAGATTTAAGACTATTCGCACACGCGCGCAAGCCGCATACTTATGTTTCATGAAATGCGGCCAGCTGGCCTTAGTGCCTTAGAACACGATGGATGGAGTTAAGAGACATGGCTAAATTTTAGGTACGAGCTTTGGCAACGACAAAAGGTCTCTGGGATGACGAAATGCAACGTGATTTACCGAAAAAATGGGAACGACATGGTGACATGATAGTGTTCCCACAAAATTCCTTCACCCACAACAACTGGAGATATATCGGTAGGTATTTCAGGTTTGGTAGTACGCTTTAACCAGGCTACAATGTAAAATCGACAACTTACTACTGGCTATTTTCTCTTGTACCAGCCTAATAAGTACCTACTTGTATCGTCTTAATCCCAGGTCGAGACTTATGGCGAGTGGTAGCCGAATCGTTGAACATTGCCCGATTGGGCCGAAAACGAATCATTGATGACGAGGACGACAGAACGCCACATGTCGATTTACTGTATGGAGATCATGGATGGGTGGAACATGTCGATGATCGTGGTATACGGTAGGGATCCTGTGCTTCATGTCAGAATGTTCGCCCAATAACCTTTCAAATTCTTCTGAAGGATAGACCCTCGTTTTTCTCTGAATTTTAGGATCTTGTAATTGTTTCAGATTCGTATATGATGCCTCTAAAAGAGTGTTCAATAATAAGAAACTACCAGAAATGCAACGTATATCGGAATGGGATTGTCATGGACAGACCATAGTGGATATGTACGCAGGTAATCATTTTTCCAATTATTTTGGGTTATTTTAATAACTCTATCGACCCCAGCAACAGGTCCAAGTTAGGATGGGCATTGTTCTATGCTCACAATCACCCCGAAATGCCGGTCCTATCTGAAAGTACCACCAATGTGCTCACAATCAGCCCAACATGCTACTCCTTCCTTGAAGTACCACCTTAAAAGAGCTTTATTCTCATTGCAAAGCTCACCAAGCACTTTTCAAGAGTAAGTTCAGATTTAGTAATGGAAGATGTACACGTTGGCGACCATTTTCAACCCCGTTCCCATCTCACTCGGTGAGCTCGTCCCCTGGGTAGTTTATACCTCGCAGAGACCCTCCACTTCGCTTTAAGCCGGCTTCTTCCTTGGTCCAATAGTTTGCATGGCTCGGGTCGAAGCTGACCTCTGACATCCATGATAATTACCATTACAGGCCTTGGTTACTACTCTCTACGATTTCTTGTATGCTGTGGAGCAAAGCAAGTGGTCAGCATCGATTGGTCAGATGACATGTGTGAAGCACTAAGGCGAACCGCTGAGGCAAATAATGTGGAGGATCGGCTACTCGTCATCGAAGGAGATAGTCGAAGGGTAGGGTTCAGCCACCTACAATAGGAACCAAAAGGTCCTTTCGTTCTACTTGATACCTTTGGTGCGTTTTTGTTGTAATGCTCCTCCATTTGGTATAGGAATAAAGGGTCGAAGGGTCTGTTCTCTGTCTCTGTTTACTTAAACTTCGAACAAGCCTGACGATTTCTGCCCTAACTTGTTGCGATGAAGTCCTGTTCAGGTTACGCCATGCTTGGTTGCTGATCGTGTTTTTCTTGGCTTAGTGCCATCATACCGTGCACATTGGCTCACAGCCTGCAAAGCACTAAAAAAGGAAGGTGGAATGCTGCATATTCATGAGGTGATCGACATTACTGCCAAAAAGAAGGCGGAAAAGGAAACTGCAAAAAAGTAAGTTGAACTCCGTCCCGAGTTACTTTATCTACTTGCATGATTGAGAAGTTTCGCTCTACGTTGTGCCTTTCGTGCCCCTTTCTTTATATTCGACTGTTTTTTGTACAGAATTACTTCAAAAATTTTTTTCAGGGTGCCACCTCCCAGACTACAATCGGTTGAAGAGGAAGGCTCATCAAAAGAGAACAAGCCTATAGCAGGTGAGATTGTGACGTTTACGTATATTTCTATGATTGCTTAAGTCATAAACAGTCAAAGGCACAGTGCACGATAAAAATGGTTTCTGGAATTCCTCCGCAGGATGAAGTTGAGGCCCCTGCGTATACCATATCTGGCACTATTAGGTCGGAAAACGTCCTAGTTAGGGCGTTATAAAGGCTTAAATATTGGCCCGTGTGTATCCTCGGACGAGTTTCACCGGCATTGTAGGGCTGCACCGATCACAAGGGAACCCATGTAGGAAGTCCAAACAACTTGTCGTGACCCATAGCGACAGTGAAAGGCAGTTCTATACAGTTGTTGCTTGATGTAGTCAGTTCTTTGAGCAACTGCAACATTTGAAATCTCGTCCGAATACCCCTACCATGTTATTTCCGTCATGGCAATCTCGTCCAACCTCTATTTTCCTTACTTTTGAGGAGCCATATTTCTCTCGAAATCAGCGAGTTCCCTCGCTTTCTTCACTGCCGATGAACTATTCCCAACCTCTGCTTCCGTATTTTGACTAAAAAGGGGACCCCAAAATTTTCGTGAACTGTGCCTTCAAAACCCTTCAAATGCTTTTTCCCGAAGGATTACGGACGGAATAATCAGATAGTTTTTCAGATAAAAGTATCTCAAATCCACCTGGAGACGGTGCTCCTGAGAAGGGTAAAGTAAAGCGTCAACTGTCCAGATCGCAATCCATTGTTGAGGAAATAGAAAGCAGGGTGTTGCCTACACCTAAGGTACAATTATCTGTAGTATTTCACGTTGAGGGAGGGGATGGTGATGGGTATAATGGGGGTCTGACAGTTTGCGAACGTTCCTGTGGCATGAAAGAATAAAACCATTTTTTAGGTGTTGAAAGAATTTGAACAAGGTGAATGGAAATCGTTGGCTGAACCTTACAAAGACTTTGCTATGGACTGTGCAACAAAGTAGGTGGTAGTAGGGATATTAAGTATTTTTTCCACACCGTAGATTTGCTAATTCGCAATAATTTTGTAAACAATTTTGATTTCAGCTGTACCCGGTTTCTTAACAATATTCATTTTTCGGACACCATGTATTGCGTTACAATTGTCAATATCACCAAGTGAGTTTAACGAGAAGCTATTAGGTTGGAAGATAAGTCCTGCAACACTTTGAACTAGTTTTTAAATTTTATATTTCATTGCCAAACGAAACCTTCAATCTACAGTTTGATCACCATTATTATCTAAAACACGTTCCCATCTTTCGGGCAGCTTCTCGATCCCTCTTCTCTAGAATTTCGGTGGTCGCGACGAAAAAAGTGGTCGATTTCATTTTCGAGTCGACAACGATTATCAAATTTTTTGCCCTTTAGCGCTCTGAATAGGTGATACTGGAAGGCGCTAGGTCCGGTAATTAAGCTGGATGCAGCAGCACTTCCTATCCGAGTTCCATAATGTTTTGACGAGTTTCGTTGGCCACATCCGGGCGTGCGTTATTGTGGAGTAGGAAGACAATGGGTCTTTTCGGGCGTAGCTCTCGCAATACGTTGGCCATTTTTTGTAGCTTGTTAGCGTAAACTGTGGCCGTCACTGTAGTGCCACTGTTTAGCATACTCCAGTAGATCATTCCACCGCAGTCCTACCAGCAACACAATAAAACCCTCTTCTCATGAAGGCTTGCATTGGCTCCGTAGATGGCTTTTCTCCTCGCGCAACCCTAGTGGCGCTCATGTGTATGGTTTACGTGAAGCACCCAGCTCTCATCCATGGCCACTATGTCTCGTAAGTCCTTTCGTCGAGAACGAAGCAGAAGAGACTCAGCTACGTGCATCCTCTTTCTCTCGTCAGACAGGCGTAGTTCATGAGGAACCTTTTCACGGGCCCTTTTATGTTTATTTTCGAAATTTTCCAGGAACACTCTACAGCAATCAGGCGCGAAAACATTTTAAAAAATCTTTGGTTTTTTCCTGGAGGAATATGTTCAGTGTTGCAGGACTTATCTTCCAACCTAATATTTTCACCAGTTCATGAGTCATAAGTAGTAGATATGTGTCATTTGGTCCGATTTTTCTCACATCAATGCGCTTACCATGTTTTTGGGCAAGGCATATGGCTGGGTGCAGGTTCTTGTACTCGAACAGCTCCGTGCCTGGTCGGGCCCAATCACTTGCTAAAAAGGAAGGTTCGAAATCTCAGCGGGACATTACAGTAAGTGCACTGGAACCCGAACGACATCGTATTAATCCAGATACAAGAACCGCCACGCCAAGCGACTGTATCGTATGTCCAGCTAAAAGGTAAAGCTTCAAATGTGAATTCTTCAGATACGGTGGCATGTCGAAAAAATCGGACCACGTCGTTTTGGATTTGATGTGCTGTATGGAAGATATGCCAATCGAAAAAATGGTCGCCAAATACCTGACGCTGAACCATTCGCTTACGTGAAAGCCTCACAACACAAAAGCTCCTCCTCCCTTTCAATCTCTCATTCATTGATTATTTGATCCTCGTTATTTTATTTTCGTATTTTGGTAGTGCCAAACTATAAGGTCATTGATTTATTGATTTTTATAAGTGTTTCAAATGAATCTCGCAGCGGGTTTCTGAAATGTTGCATTGGTCCTGAGAGACAAAGCTGCCCGACGCCATGTCTGACTGGAATGAACAGAGTAATCGATCTACCTATCAGGAAATAAGTAATCGTGGGTGGTATTGGCGAAATGGGCGGGCCTGCCACGTCCCTTGCTCCCTACCAAAAAGGGGTACAAAGCGTATACAATCAATCAATAATCTTTATTTCCATCACGATAAGTGACAATATTAAACCCGTAAGTATTGATTAGTAACCGTGATTAGAAGTGCACTTTTGGATTGAATTGGAGTAATGCTGATTATCGTTTTTTTTGAAGATCTCCTTGGTTTAATGCCGTCTACCCGCAACGAATGCGCTATGACTTCGTACATGCTGACGATCGTTGTTACGGGATTTGGAACGATTCCGAACTAAATAAAAAACATTAGAATTGCACGTATGGTCCGATGAAAGTGATCAAAAAACGGGTTTTTTTAGTGTTGTTCAACCCTTTTTTTGGATACGCCCAGATATACAATCCCTATTCAGAATCGTGGTGAAATTTGAAGCATACATAGCCTATACAGTGAGTTGCAAGGGGCAGACAATGTGGGAAACAGGAGTTTATCCTCCCAGACGTTCGCGATAGGATGGAAAGCTTGGTTGGCTCAATTGGGTACCGGGGTTCGGTTCGTTGACTACAACGTGGTGGTGCACTCCTTGGCACTCCCCCTCTTCCTCACAGCTATCGAGTTGCTAGTACAGATATCCGTCATGGGTAAGGGGCATGGAGTAATCAAAGGGGAAAACTGGATTTCACTCACTCCAGTTACTGTTGCGTTCCCTTGATCGAGATGGCCGTTCGCGACTTCTTGATCGGCTTCGTCGGTCCCAACTCGCCCTGCCATATCGCTGCGGTGCACTTGCCGATAGAGCTCGTCTCGCGTCTGCCGTCGCTATTCTGGCCAGTGCGTCAGCCTGAAAGGTTCCGATACAAGGAATACAGCATTTCTGACGATGATGGAAAACTCTCTGCTAGAGGTGAATTCCGATTCAGCCACAGCTTTCAGTTGTACTATTCTTGACCGGCAGGAATGAAAGGTAAGTGGAAGTTGTAAAAATCAACGCTACCTGTTCGTTGCCCGGGTCGCCATCATGAGCGTAGACATGCTCGAACTGTACGCCTTTCGGATAGTTCATCGCTAGCTTTCTCACCATTTCCATTTCCTTCGCGAATCTGAGCATTAATTTGATCAAAAGGGCAAGAGGGAATGATCAGGATGTGGGAGAGTAACCATACCTCCCGTCACTTGTGCCGCCGCTCATGGCCCGTACCAACGGGAGAAAATCCGTACGTAGTATGACCGGTTCATTACTAAAAATTGCTCTAACTATACGTGGAAAAAATATGAAATCATACGAAGTAACCAAATGAGTGCGAAATCTGCCAGTTACTCACTTATACCCCTTCCAATTTCGTAACAACCTCAAAGCCATTTGAGCTCCTAGAATTTCAGCTAGACCACTATTATGAATTGGGCCGATGATTCGTTCGGATCTGAAAAAGCCTCAATTACCAAGTCAGTGAGGGAGAATGAAAAGGCAACTGTCCGCTTCAGACAGTTCTTGCTACTTCCTCTATTAAGGCTAATCTACACTTCGAACCAATCCGACGCCGGCACCGGCTCGCTATCAAAACTTCCAGCAACTTGGGCAAATAGCGAATGCATGGCACGAGTCGGATCGAATGATAATACATGATAACCATAAGTTGTAAAAGCGATTAATTCACGCAAATTGAAAAAAGAAAAATAGGTATAATCTTGAAAAATCAAGTTATTCATAGAATTAGACCTGTTGAGCTCATGATTCGGTCCAAAATAAACTCCAAATCCGGAAGCCCTGTTATCGATACACGAGCCATCTGTGTATACCTTAATAGGTTTCCTTTTCTTCTTCGGCTTACGACAACGTGGTGGTTTTTGGACGAGTTCTACGGAACTGTGGACGAGTTTGATGACTTCGAATTGTCTACGTAGTTCAGAGACATCCTGACAATTGCCACCATCAGTCATAGTTTGCAGCGAAAAAAGTAGGACGCAGAAAGGACAGCGCAGGAATTCTTCTATCGACTGAAGTTCGTGCTCCGTGCTCGTTGAGCAGGGGATTGAGGTGAGGAACGCGTGCTTTTTTGTTTCAGAGGGCCGTTTCTATAGTTACATGTGAAACAGTGCACACTAGGAAGCGCCCTGAGCAGTGTAGGAAAGGAATAGCTCCCGTCAGCTGTTTATATGGAGCTCGTAGGTATTTATTTTCTAGAATAGAATCGAAAACAGTAGTGATGAATAGGCTGTTTTACTCAAAATCAATTTAAAAGTTTTTGAAATGCGGTAGAGGAAGTGCGTAGTTCAGGAAATTGCGGTTTTTGTTTCTTCCCAAAGCTTCGGCAACCCAAACGAGCTTGTTTCAAAAATTCGACTACCTTTCCTTTCAGTATGAAAAATGGCAGCCCACCGTCTCAGCTTAGATGTGCTATTAGGTCCGGTCTATGGATTGGACCTTCTACCAGGGGTAAACAGCGATGCCACACGTATTATATCGTATGGATGATTCAGTGTCTTTAGAAATTCAAAGCCACATGCTCCAGCGCCACAAATAGAACCTAATGTCCCCCATTGCAAGCGAAACTGTAGTGTGTTTCAACCCGTGTTCTTGGTCATTGTATCAAAGCTATATAGACAACGAGAATAAGCTAAGCGATCCGGATCGCCCAACACCCATGTTATACAGACCACGATTGTTCCTTCCGGGAAACGTTTGTTCCATTCTTGTTGAGCCGATTTGTCCCTTTTCAACGCTTCAAATTCTCTGTCGTTCTGTACCAACGTCGGATCTCCACGATGTTCAACACTGACGCTGGTCTGGAAATCACATGCGACCAGCTAAAGGTAATTGCTGCTGGTAAAAATGAGCTCTAATGAGGTAAAAATGAGTGGGTTTCCGAGACTTTGTGCCTTGATAAATTTGATTCACAGACACGAATTTAAAATGAACACTACGTACAGCTCGATTTCTGGTACTGTCCACAAATGAGGCTGGTGATGGTCTTTGTGTCCCGTAGTAGTTGTCCCATCGGCTCTGTCGTTGATATGACGGAGAAGCTGGAATTTTTGGATTACGCCGTGCACGTATACTCACTTTGAAACCACGGTAACATCGGAATGCCTCTTTGGTGCATTTGAAGGATTTACAAGTCGGAGCTTGAGCTTCCGATGATAATTCATACTTCAACTCAGAAGGAATAGTTTTGATAGAAGTGGCTCACGTAAGTAGTCGCTGACTACTGGATCTTCGCAGCTGGAGCTGAATTCAGATTTAGTAGATAGGAAGGCTCCGTCAGAACTGCTAACACTCCTCGTGTCCGCGGATTGCCATCGTAACGGTCTTCTTCCTGAGGAATGGCTGTTAGAACGACCGCTGGCACTGGCTCCCAGATCCCCTTTGGAGGTTCCTGAACGACTACCTTTGGTGGATAGGTATCGCGAGTTTTCACTCTGAGATCGTCGGCCATTGATCGAACGGCCGCTGGAGCGATGTCGAACTCCTGCTGATGGTATAGACTCATCTGTGTTATAGAACGATGATATCGGACCCGTAGCAATATTGGATACGTTGCGTGAGCCGGTCCTCTGGAAGCGGAACATTATCTCTTCAGTACATCTTGCCTCAACTAGGAACAGCTCCAGGACCATACGGGAAAAACTACCCACATGAAAACTACCCACATGTGGGTTGACGAAGGCAGAAGTTTGAAGAAAAATGGGTATCTACCACTTTTTATGAGGACTTATGGAATACAGTTGACCCTTACCCTAGAACTTGCCATGGTAACACTTACCGGTGAACTAAAAGTTGAAGAGTTGTAGGAATGAGGTGGCGAGGAATCCGATATTGTCGATCGTCCTGCCAGAGATCGTTTCGGACTTGTCTGAATGACTGATATAAAATTTATAACAACATTGTTGGATTGTAGTTGAAACATCGACTCATCTTCATCGAACGACATCAGATGGGACTCGAATCAAGCGTCTAGCTCTAGGACATAGTCTGACTTCGTAATTTGAGCAACGAGCATGTGATGACCTTCCACCACCAAGCAAGTTCATAGTTCACTGTTTCAAGCCCACAACTTAACTGGGCAATTGAACCATGGCAAAACTCTGCACAGAAGAGATTTTGAACTCATGCACCTTTATGGGTACCAGGACGCCTAATCCCCTAACTCTCGGCAAGTGAATTCTTGGGTTGGTGCCTTAGACTACCACGGCCTTCCTAGGGATTCCTTACATTTTCGCAGGAATTAAGCTTGAAAGCAAGAAGTTATCATTATCGTAATCATGATAGGTTCGTGAGCTGACTGACATACAAAGAAGCGTACAAGGTCGTCAGGCAACCAGACTGACAACAGTCTTACGCATTATGTGGATCCTTTATATTTTATTTTATTTTACCATAAGCCTTAATTGCATGCCAACCCAAACACGGGTGTAGTATATATAAGATAAAAATCAGGCAACTTACTAGTAAGAAACTTCCAGAACTTGAGCAATATTTGTTAGTATCAGTGTACAAAATCCTGGGAGGTAGCAACCTTGTTGAACCTGAACAACCTTGACGAGTTTCACAGCACTGTACCTAACTGCATTGATGGTCCTACAGATAGTGACATTACTGGCCGACTGGCTCCCCATTCTACAACTTTCAGTTCCAGTTTTCGGATTTTCACCCGCATACACTAACGCAAGTTGGATTGGAAAGAAAGAAATAACCCACCTTGCCGGCTATTCACCAGATGGGTCAAACGAAGAGTTGCTAGTCGTTGTAGGCTGATGCCATTCAAGCCCGCCACCCTCCACATACGGTTAGTAGAAAATGAAAGTTACTACATGCTTCCTGCATTCAAATGATCAGGGAGCAATTCGGTGGTACTGATAAAATGATAGGACAAGAATGAGAGGCAAAAGGAGGAGAACTGAGCAGCTAAATCCCGAGTAGGATGGCATGGTCGTTCCCGGTTAGTGATTTCCGAACTGCAGAGCACCTAAAAAATTTTGAAGGTAATACAGTAATATTAGGTGAATAAATCAGCTGACCGAAAGAATGAGTAGTAGTAGACGTAAATCAGCTGAGTCAACTAGACAGCGATACGTACAATCACCCTTTTCGGAATCTAATACGGTATTTTCGACTTCGTGTTTCTTGAATCGGTATAAAGAGGTGTACATTCTCAAAAACTTGCTTGTTGTAATTTGTGGTTGTCTTACTGATTGTTTACTGGGGATATTTATTGTAGGGGCGTTATCAATGTCATCTACCGTAATCAATCATCGATGCCTATCAGNGAATATGTTTAGAATGCCTTTTTGTTTCTTTTCATATTTCTCTTTTTTTTTCCCTAGTTTACCTTTTTCTACCACTCATACCGTTGCCTCTGACATTTTCGGACTTATGTCCATTATTTTCTATCACAGACTCTACCAGGGCCAACGGTAGGGCTATAGGAACATGACAATGCCCATATTATTGAAACAACATGTAGTCAACATTTTCCATGACTATGCGGCTACCGATTGATGTCGATTTCAAAAACAACTGATTCAAATCTTGATTCAATCGAAATTCTAACATCAAAATTTATGGATACTGCTTATGCTGTATTATTTATATACTTTTTATATACCAGGCTTGACTATGGACGCAGAGACTATAAACATAGCAAAATGGATCATCGAAAACAAGGAGGATTTTGTGCCGCCAGTCTGCAACAAATGCATGTAAGAAATCTTTTAAATATTTTTAATTTTCGGTGATTTTCCGTTTCCGAAGGGTGAATATTTATTTATTTTATTCATTTACTGACTTATATCCCTATTATAAAGGATAAGGATAAAGTTTTTGGCGTTAATTAATCCTGTCTGAGGGATGCGCTCGACACTCGACTTCCATTCAGAATCGTAGTGGCGTAATGAGTGCGTATGTGGCCTATACAATGACTTGCGGTGGCCAGCCTATGTACAAGTCAGTGTTTTTATCCTCCCAAACGTGTCTGTTACCAATTCACCGACCCCG